TTTAGGCTTTACTTGCTATCCAGACATGAGTGCCATGACTGTGGCAGTACTAAATGTATGGAAGCTGGAAATATTGAATTTTCGGATATATCCAGTTTATTTTATAACTTATTATTGGTACCGTTGGATAGAGCTCGTGAAGCACTTTCAGGATCAGTAACCAGTTTTTGGATATCTTGTATAGTTTAGGAATAATCGAGTGAGATCACTTATCGTGTCCACCCTGTATATATTTTATGAAATAGTTACTAATACATAACCCCCTTACTAATAAAAAGTTACACAGTTGTTGAACACTGTTTTAAAATGACATTTCCATACTAAACGTCACTTTAAAACACTGTTCAAACAGCGTGTAAGTTTTATTAGTGAGGGGGTAAGTGTATAAATGATGTTTTAGATATAGGTACACAAGTAGGTATACATTACATTAGGCCAAGCAAAATCTTAACTAACATTCGAATAAACTAAACATAATATTGTCCCGCATTTCCAAGTAACCCGTTATCTCTGAGACCAGAATTATCACAGCAGGTCCAGTTACAGTCCCATCCTGCAAACGCCGCGTCTGCAATAAGAGTATAAGCTGAGAACATAATATCGTAGTTACAAACTTATAGCCATTATTTCAGATCTTTGTGAGACCGCCGAAATAGGATTTTTCCATCACTTTATTAGGTACATACTAGCGGCCGCCCGTGACTTCGTATGTATGGATCCCTTTTTACCCCCTTAGGGGTGAAGTTTCGTAAAATCCTTTCTTAGCGGATGCCTACATCATAACATGTACCTGCATGCCAAATTTCAGCCCGATCCGTCCCCGATTCAGTCGATCACTACATCAGTCAGTCAGTCAGTCAGTCAGTCACCTTTGAGTTTAGCATTTAAGAATCTCTATCATTTGAGCTTAAAAATCTAACTGCTACATTAAAAATTTCGATGGATTCTTCCAGTATCTAAGTAGGCATGTAGCTCAGTTGGAAGAGCAGTCGCCCGGCAAGCGAAAGGTCGTGGGTTCGATTCCCGCCTTAGGCAGTTCGATTTTTTCAAGTTGTTTATTTAAAATCTAATTGTTAGTTGGAAATGGAACCATTTGCTTCCACCAGTTACATGGAAAAGTGTTAATTTCGTTCAAATTATTTAGGTTGGACCAAATCCATGAACATCCGCTTTCAGGCAGTCGCTCTGAAAGTAATTTGCAAGGAAAAAGAGATATTAGATATAAATAACATATTATTAATCAGTTTTATGGCTCAATCAGATCGACTCTGCTTAAAATGTTGTGTCCTTGAATATAATAAATATACGAACATAAATTATTACTTAAGACAAATAAGTATTTCATTTTGGCACTAAACATTCATTACAGTGATTAACTAAAAATTAAATAAAAAAAGAAAGCGAGGTTAAGAATTAGGTGGATTCAGATTTTTAACCTACATTATTTACCCAACTGTGAACAGCTCAATGTGAGATTTTCAACTTTTGTGTCCCACCTGAGAACAGAACCTATAACCACTACTCGTCATTCATGAATTGACTGCCATTGGCCTTTCCTAAAGGTATTCCTTTGAGCATTCTTGTGGAGTAGGACGAAACCGCGCGGGCAGTTATAGTACAAGCTAAATATAAAGCTCATCGCCCACTACTTCACGGCTCTCGATATAGACGCACAACTCGGTGCATTCGACTTCGCTTGTTTGGCCCGGAGTACTGTTCGGCTAGCACGAAAAACTTTCGAGTTGGAATCGTTTGCGTATTCAAATCGCCATCAAAAGATTTAGGTGCGAAAACTATAACAGCGATAGGTATTGTGAACGTATCGTAAAGTGAACTTAGTATGAGAAATGGTTGCACGAAACTTATTTTGGGAATCAAAATTGTCACGTTATCGTTTAATTCGAAGATTAAGTATCGAATTTTGTCGAATATGCAGACGATTCAAACTCGAAAGTTTTTCGTGCTAGCCGTACTGATAGGCATGTCTACCAACTACAGTAGCGTAACGTTGGCAATCGTAGTGTAATTGGCGCTATACATAAGCAGTATTAAACTCTGTTCTATCCTTAATTTGAATATTTATTTAATAAAGCTAAAATCGCAGTCGAGGAGTCTGCCATAGGACCGATAAAAAGTTGAGTAAGGTCATGAATGGGGACCACAAGAAGTAGGACGTCCGCCTGCCCAAACAACAAAAGTTTGTAATTTTAAGTAACTATCTATTTTAAAAGCTGATGAATTCGTTATTGCCATGATGATTTTAAATGCACAACAACAGAATCCAATACAACTTTTACTAAATCATTATTTAATATTTACATACATTACTTTATATCAGTCCAAAACAGAAACTGTTAGTTTTATTCTGTGGTTTTACTTCAAATCACGGGAGGTGCCTGGATGCGTGCGGCGCAGGACCGGTCTTAGTGGAAATCCTTGGGGGAGACCTTTGTCCAGCAGTGGACGTCTTTCGGCTGAAACGAACGAATGAACTTCAAATTATTTCTTTCTGGGTGTACGATAGAGCTACCTAATTTCGTTGGCACACAAGAGAGACATCTTTAACCAACTGTTGGGCAAAATATAGTCACGAATGACGTTGGTGCTAGAAAACGTTAACGTTTAGCTGCTTTCTATAGTATTTTCATAACAGAGGCCTATTATGAACGTCCAAACGGTAATAAAAATTTGAACGGTTATAAAACCAAGTGGTAAGAACAACAGTTATTGTTGTAGTAAGATGACAAAACCGACAGTTGACCCATATACAACTAGGCAGCTAATAAACTGAGTTACTTCAAACAGGACTCGATTGGTGTATAAAAACTTCCAAAGGACGATCAACCAAATAATCTATACTAATATTAAAAATGTGAAAGTAACTCTGTCTGTCTTGCTTTCACGCCTAAACCACTGAACCGATTTTGATGAAATTTGGCATAGAGATAGTTTGAGTCCCGGGAAAGGGTAGGTAGTTTACATAGGGTAGTTTTTATCCCGGTTTTTGAAACAGTAACGCTCGCGATAAAGTTTTTCTGTGACAAAGTTCCACGCGGGCGAAGCCGCGGGTGGAAAAGCTAGTACTCGTATCTCATAAACTCCAAGACTTTCATTTGAGGATTGTTAACACAGTCATATAGCACAGGGTTTCGTAAGTCTCAAAATATTGCCTCTACAATGTAAGGAGCTGCCAGGGCCCAAAGCTGATGATTACTAATTTGAGTGTATTCATTCATCATCATCATTTCAGCTATAAGACGTCCACTGCTAAACAAAGGCCTCCCCCAATGATCTCCACAAGGGCCGGTTGGTGGCGGCCTGCATCCAGCGCCTTCCTGCTACCTTTATGAAGTCGTCGGTCCACCTTCTGGGTGGACGTCCTACACTGCGCTTTGCTTTGCATATTTTGAGTCTATTGTGTATATTTTATATTTAAAATAAATATTAACAAATTAAAAATTAGTCGATCCAAACAGAACATCTAATTCAAACGCGCATTTATCTTTCTCAGTAGCTGCTGTTATTTCAATGGAATTAAAAAGCATCCCAATTCCCTTCCTCAAAAATTTATGCACACGATTGAACTGTAACACAACTGGGTAGAGTCCACAATCAATTGATAGGTGTAGATGATTCACAGCGTCAACGCACGCGCTTTGAATTGGACCGTGAGTAGGGTTACCATATTAGGTAATTAAAATAAAATTGATTTCAATAAATTGATAAGCATCAATTTATTTTAACTAGTAAATCTGACACTACTACTTACACTACTGATTGGGAATAACTGGGAATATGGGATGTTTTTAGACTGTCCTAGTGAACTATCCATAGTACAATGTTTAATGGGTGGTTTAATAGGATAATCTGCCCTAATCCATTGGAAACTTCAGTTATCTACCTCCAGTTATAGAATATTAGGACTTAAGCTTACTCTTGAATCTTATTTATGAGTATTTTCCAGACGGCAAATTTCATGATTTCTATCTGAAAACTAAATGATAACTTACTAGGCACTTCGACATTTGAGTTTTAATTATTTAGTTTGTAGTAGTGTAATTCTTTGTTGAAAAACCAAATAAAAATTGTAGAGTCGCTATCATTCGAAATGACTACATAATTGTTTTAATATCTAATGTTGTTTTTTTATTTTTAAAATATTGTGCTTATTTATTTTGAACTAGCTGTAAAATGTAGCCTATGTGTTAATCCAGGGTGTAAGCTAACTACATACCAAATTTTATTAAAATCGTAGAAGTAACAAACATACTCACTCACAAACTTTCGCCTTTATAATATTAGTGTGATGATAGTCACCCTACAAAAGGCAATAATGCGTTATACAGATGCGCGCGCGCAGCCCACTAGCTCCGCTCCGCGATTTCATTCCGCTCGCTCATTGACGCTCGGAAGTCTCCTTTCGAGCTTAAGCGGGTCAATTAGGATAAGAACGTATGGAAAATTTATTGTTACTACTTCTGGAGTATGGTATAAATCTTTGTAGTTAGTTCCAATATGGTTAGAATATTGTATTGGACGTGCTTCTGAGCTTTCCCTCTTTTACTCCCTAATACCATGACAGGATTTTCGGATCTATACATGCATATCTCATATGGCTAGATATTGACATGAGCATCAGCAAATTATACCAGAAAACATCTCTCCTATTCCGTAAGATAAACGTTAGACACGAAGACTAACAAAACAAAAATTCAGTCATGTTGGACAAATAAGTATTTTCATTAAAAGGCCATTGAAAAAATACACATCTACAACTCTGTAATGTACTAATTAAATTCGTAGCAAGTTTTTGTATTTAATTTTTTCAACTATAGACCCAAGTTTAGAACTACAAACATAAAATGCTAGTCACGTGTTTGTGTGTGTGTGAAATGTAGAAATGCGTAATTGATACGAAATTACGACGTCTTTTAAAAAAAACTAATACTGAAAAATTACCATCTATGTACCTTTTTTCAATGGATTAATTTCTATTTCAGTGGGTGCCCGGTTCAGTATGGGGCCCGCTGCCCACCGCTGCGCCGGGGTCCGCCCAGCCGCCCAACGACGAAACCAGCTCCATGGCGGAGCAGCTCGCCGCCCTGTCTCTGAGGCGGCCCCCTCGGCCCCCGCCACCGGCCTACATGTGCCACCTGTGCTTCAAGAAGGGCCACTACATTGGCGACTGTCCTCAAGTAAGTACGTCTCTTGCAAAGAACATAACACAAAGAAAAAAAGGTAAAAAAAGTAGCATACAAGGATATGAAAATTGGAAAGAAGGTGTGCCACTACCTCGCAACAGTAATGCCCATTGCAATGGGACCCCACTCAGCGCTGTCCTCAAGTAAGTACGCCTTTTGCAAAGAACATCACACAAAGATATAAAGGTAAAAAAGAAAAAAGTGCTTTAGGACATAAAAACTCGGAGAGGAAAGAAAGAGTGTACTGAGCAGTGCCACTCTGTCGCAATAGCGATGCCCATTTCAATGGGACCCAGCATTATGCAGTGACCCATGGTGATGAAAGCCACGAGGCTGGTTTTCAGTGTGCCCCATAGTTCTGGGTTGTGTGTTCTCAAGTAATGTAGCTACATCGACGACACCAGCTCCATGGCGGAGCAGCTCGCCGCCCTGTCTCTGAGACGGGTGTCGGCAAAATGGCATAAGAACACTACCCTGTCACAATAGCGATGCCTTTTGCAATGGGACCTTACTCAGCATGTGCCGTGACCCATGATGACGAAAGCCACGACGTACACACTCAACTGTGGTGTAATCTTTTCCACGATTGTAACATCGTGGCTAATTCACACCGTGGTCCAAATCAATCGAGAACATGAATCAATGCATTACCGGATTCCTTCAGCCGCGTATTTCTCCAAACTAATCGCGATAATTAACCCCGCACAATAGTATTTCCGCGAATCGGCGCGCGCGTGGGCACGCGGCCAAAACACGCGCATTATTTTTACACATCAATTTTCTTCTATTCAGGAAGAGTCGTTATACTGACTAGACTTTGGGTTAATTTTGGATAGAATTAAAAAAAGAAATCTTTGAAGTTCGAATACTATAAGGTACTATGCCCGTGACTTCGTACGCGTGAAAATAGTTTTTGCAACATTTTTCTTCACTGCTCCCCGCCCCTATTGGCTGTAAGGTGATGTTATACATATAACCGGAAGCCTTCCTCGATAAATGGGCTATCCAACATAAAAATATTTTTTCAAATCGGACCAGTAGTTCCTGAGATTAACGCGTTCAAATAAACAAACAATAATATTAGTAAGTACAGAATACAGATCACTTCGTTAAAAACATTCTTGTCTTATATTTTTGTAATTATCGCCTATAAAGCCTATTCTGTGTCGTACGTTAGGGATAAAAACAATTAAAAAACCCTGTCACTCATTATACGCCCCAGCATTTTATATACTTGCCAAATTACATAGAACTACACATTCGACCTTACTGAATAATTTATACTCACAGATTACGCGTACTTACTATAAATAGCCCTCTGTTTAGAACAGAGTTCGTCTATGGATGTCAAAGGACTTAAACAAAAGCTTCATTGTTTAATCTAATCATGCTTTATGATAACGCAAAATATTTTAAAGACGGCCAAGAAGTCACTACAAATTAAGTTGTGTATTGAGTTTATGACGTTTCTAGGATTATACCTACTTACTTAGGTCTCTGAAATGAAAATATAACAAACGATTTTCTCGCTGGTCCCTTAGAACGTGGGTTTTACAGTTCCAAAGTAGCTTATGGCATCTAATATAGAATAGACTGTTTTCTAGGAAGTCAAAATTATCCGTATTTCGATTATATCCATCCCTCTCATTCATAACCAAAAAAGCTGGCATAAAAAGCAGCGACACAAGACCCAGAAATACGCGCCACCATGAAAAGTACGGCTTCGGAATCTAGGCTCTATAGCCTTTTGCGCTTCACAATCCTCTGTTACTGGTTATCTTTAGGAGTGCCAGCGCCGGCAGCCGTTTTGACTGCCGGCAGCGTATCACGTGGTATCACCGCCGGTTACCAATGGCCATATTTTTGGGCCGGCCGCGGCACCGGCAGTGGAGGCACTCCCTATAAGCCCAGATTTCCCTTCGTTATGCACCACACACTGACAAGTGATACTTTGTAACATCAAACAAGGCTGTTGATAAATTGTAACACCATAACCACTAATATGTAGTTCGTAAGTTGCTTACAAAGCAATCTCACGCACGAGCACAGTTCTTAGAAAAAGGTCCAAAGATGTAGACTACTTTAATGCTGGCTCGACATTCAGGCGACGAAAACAACCGTCTTCTGGGAACGAAATGTGATACCTTGTTTTGCTTAAATATTAACGGTTAACATAGTTAAGCCTTGTTAGTGTGCTAAAGCAGAACCTAGCTAGCTGTACTTAAAACATTAGGTACTTGATCTTTTATAAAGATTGTTTCTTCTAAACAGTGAGCAGACTATGCGCTCTAACGGATTCTGTTTCTTTCTTTGTCAATTTTTAAGCATACTCGTTTTTATATCTTCAGACGTTCAAGGGAAAAAAGCTTTGACATATAGATAAATAATAAGTATTCCAATTACCTTTTGGAGGTACGGAAATCTAAAAACAATGTTTTGACGTAGGGACTAGGGGTGTAAGCCAAATGCTCCATTTGACTCTGGTGAATTAGAAGGTCGTGTCCTCTTGCACGGGACTATTCCCACCTCTCGCTCCCACCACTGCAACTCCTGTATAGCCAGGATCTACAGCTTGACCGTTAATAAAAACCGAACCAGTGAATTCAAGTTTGTCCCAGGTCAAGTGTGTCCGGTTCTCTTGCATTTAAGATTAAATGACCTGATGATGACTTCAAAGCGTGTTCTCTGCTTTCCAGGCCAGACCAAAAGGCGAAGGGCTGACGCCGTATCAAGGCAAGAAGCGGTGCTTCGGCGAGTACAAGTGCCCGAAGTGCAAGCGCAAGTGGATGAGCGGCAACTCCTGGGCTAACAACGGGCAGGAGTGCATCAAATGCCGCATCAACGTGTTCCCACATAAGCAGGTAGTTACTATTTTTCCACCTTAGTTTTTTCAGCTTCGGAAAGAGAACACTAATCACGAAATGTTTAATTTTTAACGTTGGTGATCTGGCCGAAGGTAAAAACGAACTTTCGCCACCAATCCTCAGCCACAGAACTGGCTATTTACCTCTTACTGCCGGAACACAACAATGCTGTTGACAATGTTGTTATACCGACAGACTTAAGTAAGATATTGGTTGCTGGTCAGGTAAACCTAGAAGTAGCCCTACCATCGACCAAAAAGAACAGAATTGGAAATCAAATCCGGGATCTTCGATCGCGTTATAAATACACACTAACTCAACTCCTCGACTTGAACCTAATAATATCTTTATTTCTGTCATTTCAGCGGCCCCTGGAGAAACCTGATGGACTGGACGTGAGCGATCAGTCGAAGATCCATCCTCAGCATCTGTGCCAGAAGTGCCGCTCGCTCGGCTATTACTGTCGACGTGAATACTAGTGACAGCTCTTAGAGCCTCCGCAAATCACGCGCGTGAACGGAGCGGGTGCCCGCGGCGGGAACCCGCTGTGTGCGCCCGCGCACGGTACTGTATCGAAAATTAGTATAAGCAGCGCGGATTTTAGAGGAGGCCCTTTTTTTGGAAAACTACCTACCTACTAAATATCTACTTAACAAATTAGTAAAATGTTGGGGTCCTTTTCTAGAGTTAAAAAAAAATATACATTGGCATAGATCACAGACCTGCAGAATTAGATAAAAATACAAACCTAACAGTTTTATTTAAGAAATCTTCGATCCAGCTTTTTTTGCAAAATGTGTTTTAATTTCATAGTAAGCTTCAGTTTTTACCATAAAATCAGTTTTATTATTTTTTGTTACTTAATTTTTTTTAAATTACTTAGATAAGATTTATCCCAAAGAATATAATTTTGATAACTACGTGTTTTAATTAGAGTTTTTATATAATTTGATGGTACCTAGTTTTAGGCTATTATTAGACTTTTTAATACCCATGAGTTTCCAGACAATGTGCTTGGCATGTTTACCAGACTTTCAATGGATAAAAGTTACAGACTCTTCCTATTAATTTATTGAAACCTCTATTGAAGCAACCTATTTTAAAAACTATTAAGACCCTCGATTATCATGGCAGAAAAGTATCATCATCATCATCATCATCATTTCAGCCACAGGACGTCCACTGCTGAACATAGGCCTCCCCCAATGACTTCCACATCGCACGGTTGGTAGCGGCCTGCATCCAGCGCCTTCCTGCTACCTTTACCGGAAAACGCAGCGTGGGACGTCCACCCACAAGGTGGACCGACGACCTGATAAAGGTAGCAGAAAAGTATGAATCTGACATTTTCTGTGGGTCTAGACAAAGTGCAAATTATAATCGCAAACCAATCGAAAAGTGGTCGAAAAGCCCCTTTTTTGTATGGAGTTTTGACGGATTCGATTTTCGATTCGATCAAAAAGTGCGTTTTGTCTAGGGGGGCTGTATTACTATGTAAGCTTTATTCAGGGCTACAGGCAAAAACCATACCTCGCTCGTGTAAGTACTATTGCGTGGTCAGAACCTACGACTTGTACTTTTTTTAAAGAATAAAAAGAAAAGAAAGTAACATCTTTACGAGATCTGGGGATAGTTGGATCCGTCAGGAGATCTCCCCATCTGGTAATGCATCACTAACATTAACTCAATACTTTAAAATATTCAAAAGATATTTTATACCACAGTGTAGTTATAAAAACTCAACATTTTTGTGTGGAAACTCTTGGCTTATTTAGAAATACAAACATTATGTTATTCACTTTAAATATAAGTCATTATATTCGCCGGTTCAAAGTTTTAGTGATATGTATTAAAGAAAATATTGATGTATATTTCGATAAAAATATCTAGAGTTCATTTGACTTAATATAAGTGTTTGAAAACTACCTTTAACTCCAAAAGGCATTACAGATACTTATTATTTTACTAAGATTTATATGTATATTTAGAATAAGCAAATGTGTTGATTTATATTATTCTATTGTCGTAAGTGTGCCATTATATTATCAAAGATTTGTTAATTTTAGATACATTTTAGTTTAACAAACTACTAATCTAATATATTACTAAAAAGTATTAAGTATTGTTGAATCGTACATAGTAAATGTATATTTGGTATTGTATGCCACCAACGATTTATAAAACGAACATTTATAACTATTTACATTTTATTTTGTACCTTCTAACAGCTACATCCTATTTAATAACAGGTATAACTATTTAACTGTCTAATATGTTGAATAAGTCTAAAAAGAAAATATATCATTCGTTTTAGTCGTTAATCATCGAAATTAAACAACAAAAAAAATATTCGCATTTGATTAAATAAAGGGTTTATTCTAATACTCGAACAACTAAGTACATCCTATTATAGTAGGTACTATGCCAACCAACTTACATAAATAAATAAAAAATAGAGCTCTCTATAATCATTTTGATAACTGAAATTAAAAACTGGACTCCTTCCTTATATGCCTTAAATAAAAAATGTAAGCTTAACATGTGTGTGTAGATAATTAAGTTCATATTATTATTATAACCAATTTTAAAGTTGCCCAAAGAGCCAGTGAATTCTTAATGTGCCAAATGTAGATTTAAGTATTTTTTAATTAATATTTACAAGTATACAGGGTGTTAGGTAAATGGGTATATGAGCCGACACTAGCCCATGTTAACATGGGTATATAAATGGTATGGTGAAGTCAGAACATTGATATCTTCGTGTTAATTATTTTAATTTTCTTACTAATCGGATTTTATAGAATTTATTTTGTATGACAATATAAAAAAATGATGATATCAAATTTCTGACTTCACCATACCATTTATATGCCCATGTTAACATGGGCTAGTGTCGGCTCATAATTACCCCTTTACCTAACACCCTGTATAGAAGTAGGTCAGTAATAATTAAAATAATGGTGCCATTTTCAAAATATTTGTCTTTCGCTGTACCGGTAATATTATTATGTACTTACCTACTATATTTTTCTGAGCAACTCATATTTTTCACATAACTAACGCCACACTGGTAGCGCAGGGAATTAATCGTACATTCTATAGCTCTACCAAATTAGGCCGAGTTGCACCACCTTAACTTTATTCGTAACTATAACTTTAAAACCGGTGTTTTATAAGGAGTTTGAAAGACATGACGTTTGTTACGGTTAAAGTTAAGGTTAACTAGCCTTATTTGTGAGTAGGCTAGGCAGAGAAAACAACAGTGACTGAGTTTCTTGCGCTGCTTCTTCTCATCACTGCAACTGGCTCGTTTATTGTCCCGAAGCAGTGGTAGGGTTAATACTGGGACGTGTAAAAATGCTTTTTAAAAGCCCACTTGGAAAAATATGTGACTTTTATGAGTTTTTAGAGTTTTAAAGCAACAAAACTGACTGCTACGCAAACACTAGCTTATTTACATTTATCTGATTGCATTACATTAAGTACTTATTATTCGATATAAGTTAAAATGTCGCTGAATCGACGGTGCTTTTGTTATTAGATCATTTTGTCTGTGTGTCTTGTGCAAGGATGAACCGAGGACCAAAAAACCGTTTTCACCATCAATCCCTAATTTTCAAGTTTAGTGACCCCTATGAAAACAAAATGCCTTTTATGTGTCACTTAAAAATTAGGGACTGATGATGAAAACGGGCATAAGTCTGATGTAGGTACATTCTCGTAATTAGTAAAAACCGGTACGAACTGAACAATTAACTACGGTTGCCATTTTTTTTTTATATTTGTAACTAGGTGATACAATTTTCATCTCTTATTTCCTTACAAATCTAAGCTCAAACTTGATTCAAACTCAAGTGCAGATAAAGTCTGAAATAAAAAAAATAGGTCACAGTCAGTGTCAAATATGTAGTTCGTTACACCCAAAGTAGCCAAAAAGTTCACAACACGTCTTCAAATCAAAAGTATTCTCGGTTTCATCCTTGCTTGCTTGTGTGATTCCCGTGTTAAAGTACTCGTAAATAGTGTGTGTTTGCCCTTGTATATTATTATAGGGGAACCTGGGGAGGGTTGATCACCCACTTTGATTATGCACTCTATTTTGTTTATTTTTTGTAGTATAGGAAAACTTTTTAAGCTAAACGATTTGGAAATTATCTATCTATTGATAGTTTGAATAAAAAGCAGATTGTGTCACAATTTAACTCATTATGTATTGAAACTCCTGATTGTAAACTTTTACCATGTGTCCCCGATATTAGGGAGACTTCTTCACCCTTGTTTGGGAGCCTTGATCCTGGGGGGATCTAGTCTCCCAATTGCGTGGGAGATGTGGTAAACAGATTTTTACCGTGTCTCCCCACGACTGATTATCATTGACTAAGTAACTCTATTCGCACTCTACAAAGCATATAGAAATAGAAAAACACACAACAAATAGCTATGTACCATACCTAGCATTGCTACAAGTTTAATTCCCACCAGTTAGATAACTTGATCCGCAGGGATCAAATCACCCATGATTGGGGACACATGGTAAACAGATTTTTAGCACGAATGTCAAATTCAGAGGGTTGATTCCTGTTTAATTCATTAACTTAATCCTTAGGAAATGAATTTGTGAGGAAATCAAATTCATGGTGAATCATGTATTTTAATGATTAAATAGGGAACTGTATTATTTTTCCAATAACAACACATTTTTAGTGATAATTTTTTTTACTATCCAAATAGTTAACATTCGGTATTATAAATTGAAAACAAAAAGTTTCTTCTAAAAATTAAGCTTATCTTTATAATAGACTTCTCTTCGTCGTCTGTAAATATCTGTGATCGCTTGTAGTTAGGTTCATATTTTATTTCTTCATTTGATGTTTTTTGTAATTTTGCGTATCTTTTTAACGTCATTAGAGGGACACCATATTGCTTTGAAGTCCTCTTCAATGTTTTTCCACCTAATACTGCAGCTACAGCATTTTTCAATTTTTCCTTGTCTATCGGTTTTCTCTTTTTTGATCCCTCTTTGGTCGTATATTTTCGCGGCATTATTACCTAAAAAAATACATGTAATTATGACAGGTCTGTAAACCCTCTGATTTTTCGACGCCAAGGTAGACTTGATCCCTCTCGGGGACACATGATCCCGGGATCATGTCACCCCCAAAGAAAAGGACATAGTCTCCCCAAACATAGTGAGTTTATAAACCATGCCGTACTCAAAATGAATGTACATGTATTTCAAGTGAATCAAAGCTAATGTATACTCAAATAAACTACTAACAAAATAAACATAGTCACTAATAGCAATTACTTCATATTTTAATAAATAAATCCGACTAAAACTTACCGAAAATTAAATATCACACCACGCGAATATTTCACCGTCCGCCATTTGCAAACCACTGACATTTGTCAAAGAGTGCTATGCTAGAGAGTGAATTTAGGAATGAAGGAATCAGTGTTACCAGCTTAAAAAAACGTATCACGTTTGGTAAAACTTTTAAATAAAGTTACCAAGTGTCCCCTAGGGATCGACCCTCCCCAGGTTCCCCTAATAATTGGATTAATAATACAATTTCAATTTTACATATAAAAGAAAATTTAAGACCACAAATAAA